TGTGGACTTTATTTATGTCTGCACCTCTTTTTCCTGTAGAGGTCACTGAGTGGAGTTGAGAGTTCATCCCTCCAATCCTGTAATGATTTTTATTTTCTTTTGGTGACTTGCTGGCCTCATCCTGGTGCTAAGAGGCCCATTTAACTTACTAGCATGAACTCAGGAGTTATCAAAGGGGCTGGTGAGTAACAAACCACTCCTGTTAGAAAATTCCCAGTGTTTTAGGAGCTCCACTATGGGATCCAGGGACAGAGACCAAATTACTTCATGTTTCTTGTATTTCATACACATGGTAGAGCTAATATTAAAGCTTAGATCCATCATGTTCTAGAGCTTGTGTTTCTATTACAAGATGCCAGAGTAATAGCTGGCTATATCCTGGGCAGTTGTCAGTATGATCTCTTTATGTCCAGAGGGCTCAAACCTGTCTTGACCTGTATAATTCACACATGGGAATTTGAATAAATTCTTTAATTCCTTCCTAAATCCAAAAGTCACAAATCAGAACCAGATTGTAACTCAATTAGGAGTTACCTTTGTTTCAGTCCCAGCTCATGTTATTAATTAACTTTGTATGCCCCTAATCAACTCTTTTAACATCTTAGCCAGTTAAAAAAACACAAATGGGGGACCTGCCCATTAGCTCAGGTGTTTATGTGCCTGCTGAAACAAAGCAATCAGGCTCAGGATGCTGTGGTTCAATCCCCTCATCCTCAAGCCAAACCAGACCTGCCTTGAAGGCAACCTGAGCGCACCCCCCCAAAAAAAACCCCACAAATGCCTTAATTTTTATGTAAAGAATTGCTTAGGGCTGGACATGGTAACCTACACCTGTAATCCCAGTACTTGGGAGCAGAGGAAGGACAGTGGGGAGTTTGGATCAGCCTGGGCTACATAGTAAGAGCCTATTTTCAAAAACAAAAAAAGCCAGGGAGGAAGCTCAGCGGCATAAGCACCTGCCTGGCAAGCACAAGGTCCCCAGTTTGTATCACCTTAAAAAAAAATTTGCTTAGAAACATTTGTGAAGTTTCACAATTTTGGAACAAAACCTTCTATATTTTCCTGTCTGTAATATAAAATATTTTCCCCTGCTGGATTCATGATTGATTTTCAGTGTGTATTGGTATACATTAGTATAAGATTGGGTGAATATATACCCTTCTTTTGTTCTATTTATATTTAGTAATTTGTAAACATAATTTTAATCTTCACATGGCCTTAACTTTTCTTTTTCTTTTTTCAGGATATCGAAAAGATTTTTAGTAACATTTTAGATATACATGAGTTGACTGTGAAACTTTTAGGTTTGATTGAAGACACAGTTGAAATGACAGATGAAAGCAGTCCTCATCCCTTAGCTGGCAGCTGTTTTGAGGATTTGGCAGAAGTAAGTTTACAAAACTACTTTAAATTCTCACAAAAATTGCCATTGCTATATTAAGAAATACAGTCAGGTATTCTTTGTAAAAATTAGAAGGTAATGCTTGCTACTGGCTACTATAAAACATTTAACATTCACCCAGTAGCAATCTAAAATTAGATTGTCTATATTTTTAGTGACTTAATAGTATAAATAGAATATTTATGGTAATATTTATAGTGCAAATGTATATATTAGAATTATAGCTTAGTGTTTTCTTGATAAGTCCATTTAAGGTGAAGGAAAATAAATTTTATTAATTTTATTGACTAGTTTTATTATTTATGCATGTGTTAGATTTAATTTTCAGAAATAAAAAGATTTCATGTTAATTTTTTCCCAAGTGAAAATAATTTTCTTTTAAATGATTATAAAAGTAACGTGTCTCATTTTAAATATTCAAGAAAACTAGAGACAAGTACTGTATAAATAAAATGAATAATTACTGTTTTGAAATTCTCAGAGATAACTTAAAACATTTATTTAACCTTATAAATGTTTTTCTATGCAGTATACAAACCTATGCGTATTTATGAGAATATAATTCTGTTTTATAACATGCATTTTTAACTCTATATCAGGACAGTTGTCTGTGTTAATAAATACCTTAACACATTTAAAACATAAGTAACACTTTTCTTTCTTTGGTGCCGGGGATTGAACTCAGGACCCTGCACTTGCCAGGCAAATGCTTATTCTACTGAGCTATCTCCCCAGCCCTAAAATATAAGTAATGCTGTATTATATGGAGACATCATAACCATGACAAGCTTGTAGACTTTTTTCTTGCATCTATAAACAACACTATAACAAACATATTTTTACTATATCTTCATAGTCTAATAATTTTTTGTATGTATTCCTTCAATTGAAATTTAGCACTGAAGACTGTGTTTTTAGACTCTGAAATGTTTTGCCAAGCTAATTTCCATATAATATATATATATATATATATATATATATTTCCAATTTCAGTATATTCAAGTCCTCTCTCTCTAGTCGCATACCATCACTAACCTTCACTAACTCTGGGAATTATCCTAGAATATATTTGCCAGTTTAATGGGAAAAAAACCTCTCTTTTTTTTTTTTTTTTTTTTTTGTACTGGGGATTAAACTAAGGACCTTGTGCTTGCCAGGCAGGCACTTACTTATGCTGCTGAGCTATCTCTCCGACTCTCATTGTTTTTTAATTTTGCTTTTTAGAAAAATTATGTAGAGCACTTTTTCATACTCATTGGCCATTTTTCTTTTTTCTTGGAAGAGTGCTGTTTTTACTTTTGTTGTAAAAATTACCAAATTTTATATCTCTGTATATGTTTTCTAAAAACATAATGTGTTGTTTCCATTTATAAGAAAAAGAAACTAAAAAGCGCTATTTAGTTGCTGATATCTAATCAAAGTATCACCCTTCTTAGTGTTTTTGTATTGTGATATAGTAATAGGTAGTCTCTTTATTTTTCTGTACTAGTAAATAGTGTAGTTTTTAAAATACTGCATTTTTATATTTTGGTTACATACATAAAACGTAATACTTTTTATTTTAACTTTTTTTTTGAGACAGGGTCTTGCTGTGTAGCTCAGGTTGGCTTTGAACTCACTAATGTAGCCCAGACTCAAGGCAGTCCTCCTACTCAGCCTCCTGAGTGCTGGGATTACAGATGTGTGCCACCATGCCTGGCCACCCACGTTAGCCATTTTTGAGTGTACAGTTCAGTTGGTATTAACTAAAGTCATAATACTGTACAGTCATCACTACAGTCTAGCTTTAAAACTTCGTGTCAAACAGAAACTACCCAGTGACCAGTAACTCTGAGTCTTTTCTTTCCTTACCTCTTGGTAACTTTAAATCTATTTTGTATCTCTGTGAATTTGCCTACCTTAGATATTTCGTGTTAGTAAAGTTATATAACATTTGTCGTTTCATGTCTTATTTCATTAAGATGTTTAAAAAGTTCATCTGTCATTGTGTGTGTTACAGTGTCATTGTTGCCTATCACTAAGACTCCATTTCACATGTATACAGGTAGAAGAACCCTAATATAAAATACTCTGACATCCAAAACTTTTCTGAGCACTAGGTGATACTCGGAGTTAGGGAGGTAGCTCAGCAGCACAGCACCTCCCTGGCAAGTGCAGGGTCCTGATTTCAACCCTCAATAAAAAATAAATAAATAAATAAATAAATAAACCCCAAACTTCTGGAGTTTAGAATATTTTCAGTCAGCACTCAAGTAGCTTTTTCATTTTAGGGTATTTTGTAGTTTAGATTTTTTTTTTTAATTGGGCTAGTCAACTGTAAGTTCTGTGTAACTGTGCCAGTATCTCAAAAAGCTCCAAATTCTGAAACAACTCTGGGTCCCAGGCATTAACATATTCCTCATTTTTTTTGTATCCATTCATTTACTGATAGACGCTTAAATCATCTCCACCTTTAGCTATTATGAATAATGTGTTTTCTCCTGAGTGTATAACTAGGAGCAGAATCACTGGGTCATGGGGTAGTTCTGTGTTTTGTTTTTTGAGGAATTGGTAGTGTTTGCTCTGGGGTTATACCATTTTATTTTACACCAGCAATGTACAAAGGCTCTAATTTCTCCATATATTTGTCAGTGCTTTTTTTGTTTTCTGGGGGAAAAAAACCCATTTCTGTGTCTTTAAGGTACAAAAATGAAGCATATTTCTTAGGTCTAACTAAACATTGAGATTATTTGTTATTAGAATTTATTAAAGGAAATAAAAGTTAAAAGGGAATTTATTTAAATATAGGCATTGGACAAACTTTAGGCAATTTCTCTTTTCTTATTTACTGTATGTTGCCTTTATTCTGCTTTTGAAAATGTACAATAGGTAAAATAGCTAATAATTTTGCTTACGTTTAAAGTATCTTAAATATAAACTGATTTTCAATCTAAGTAAGCGTCTGAGTTTCTGGCTTTTTTTTTTTTTTTTTTTTGCAGAACCAGGGATTGAACTCAGGCCTTTGTGCTTGCCAGGCAAGCGCTTGTTCTACTGAGCTATCTCCCCAGCCTAGTTTCTAGCCTTTTACTAAATATATTTCTCATGTACTGGGGATAAAATGTATATTTTAATAGTTTGATCCTTATGGCCCAATGACAATCCTACTGTAAGATTTATAGTCTCCTGTCATCTATTGGTCAAGGTCAGTACATCTAAAAAAACTATTATGTAGTCATAGTTATTATTTGACCTTGAAAAGTATAGAACAAAAGTGAGGAAACCTAGTTGAAGATTTGAAGAAAATTTTATCATTGAGTAATCTGTACTATTTTAGTAGAAAAGATGTTCTTTCAGACCTGACACCTTTTCATTTTCTAAAATATAGGAGCAAGCCTTTGATCCTTATGAAACATTATCGCAGGACATTCTTTCACCAGCATATAACGAACATTTCAGTAAGCTGATGGCTAGACCTACAGTTGCTCTACACTTTCAGGTAAACTTAAATTGAATGTTCTTACTGTTTATAAGACAAGAAATATTTTACAGTCTTATTCTTCAAATATTTGTAATTCTACAATCCTTTCATATAAAGCAATTGAAAAGATATTCTGTCAGTCCTTCCAACCTTGTTTACTCTAAACCTATTTTAGTGATGCATGGCTATTCTAAGTTAGTGGAGTAATTTGTCTGGTCAAATCCATAATGATCCTCCTGCTTTCAGCCTCCCCAGTGCTGGGATCACAGGTGTGTGCCACCATCCCCAGACTCTGATAAACTTGTTTTAGATGGGCTTTTGGTTCCTGTCATGTTACTTCAGTCTGTTCTTAGGGGAGATGGTGTTTTTTGTTTTTTTTACATTTTTTTGTGGCACAAGATAGTGAACCTAGGATCTTCACACTGAGCTGCGTCCCCAGTCCTTTTTATTTATTTATTTTTTTAATTTGAGACAAGTCTCACTGAGTTGTTAAATTGACTGGCTGGCTTGTACTTGTGATCCTCTTGCCTCAGCCTCTGAAAGTGCTGGGATTACAGGTATGTGCCACCATGCCAGTTTGGAAAAATCTTACTATAGTGTACCACCACAAATACTGACTGACCAGAAGTATCAGCATATTCTGGATCATAGATAGTTGAATCTGAAGTGCTGCCATGGGGGCCAGGGAGATGGCTTAGTGGAATAAGCACTTCCCTGGCAAGCGCAAGGGTCTGAGTTCAATCCCCGGTTCCGGGAAACAAAAAACAAAAACTGAAGTGCTGCCATGTTCCCTATAGGAGCAATATTTAGAGAACACATAAAGAGCCTCATGCACACGGATACTGATTTCTGTATCAGTAGATAGTGTGTTGAGGGGAAATTACTGGTTTAAGAACACAGGTTAAGTGAAAATTAATGAATGAGACAGTTAAAATTATATTTTTACTCTGTCAACACAATAAAACATTATTATTAACATTTACATTTTACATTGGCATAGGTCATGCTTAACTATTAGAGCATCTAGCCTGGCTCTTTCCTCTCAGCAAATGAATCAGATTGAATCTCTAATTAATAAGGCCATTTCGGGCTGGTGAGATGGCGCAGTGGTCTAAAGCACCTACTTAGAACAAGCTTAGCAAAGCACAGGGACCGCGGTTCAATCCCCCAGCACCACATGCCAGCCAGCCCCGCCCCCTGGTGGGCTGAGCTGGCCACACACACACACACAAATAAATAAATAAAATTAAAAAAAAAAAAATAAGGCCATTTCATGCTACTTACTCCACGTTTTCATATTTTCATTTTGTGGTTAGTTACCTTAATATTTTTTCCCATTCTTCCTCAAAACACTATCATTCGTGTTCTAATCAGTATATAACACTAAAAAACTGCTTTTGACAATTGACTTGTCAAGTCCAGGTAGTATTTTAATTTCATATTCCTGTCTGTAATATTAGGGGCCAGGGAGATAGCTCAGTGGAATGAGTGCTTGCCTGGTCCTGAGTTCGATCCCTGGTACCACTGAAGGAAAAAAAAAAAGTAATATTTGTTAATTCCCTTCTGCTCCTGTGGGTCCCATGATACTTTTTTTTTTCTTTGCAGTATTGGCAGTTAAACCCAGAGGCTTTGTACTGGGGTACAGCCTCATCCCCAGTTCTTTCTAACCTTTTTACTTTGAGACAGTCTCACTAAGTTGCCATGTTGCTGAACTTGGGCAGAGCTGGGCCGGGATTTGCAGTCCTATTGGCTCAGCCTCCCAGAGTGCAGAGCTAACAGGTACGTCCCAACACACCATCATGCCTGGCCTCTGTAATACTCTCTCTTGTTTTTGTCTTCTCTGACTTTGTTTTTGGCGGAACCAGGGAGTGAACTCAGACCCTTGTTCTTACCAGGGAAGCGCTTATTCTACTGAGCTGTCTCCCTGGCCCTTCTCTGACTTTTTTCCTTTGCCGTCTTCTTAATTGTAGGTGTTATCAAGCTTCTGTTAGCAGCCCCTGCTTTTGTGTCCTTCAGTGCTCTCTTTGGTCTTGGAGATATTTTCCTATTCATGTGCAGAGAGCCTCCTTACTGTTTTTATTTTATTTATTTATGTTCTGGGAATCAAACTCATGATCTTGCGCTTGCCAGGAAGGTGCTTATTCTACTGAGCTATCTCCCTGGCCCTCAGTGCTCTCTTTCGGTAATTTCACCATGTTAGTTATGCTGGTCACATCCTATTCTAAACCATAATTATCTTCTGCAAGAGATTGTGGGTCTCTGTGTCTGTACACTTTCACAAAACTGATTTGAATTAATGTCTTGTAGGCACTATTATATCCATTAAATGTGTTTAAAACTGAACTTTTCATCTTGTACCTGCTTGCTTTATTGTGAATTCCTTTTATTGTCTACTACTCTACACTCAAAAATCAATCAAAATTAAAATTATACCCAATTTTCAAAATTTACATCCAAGAAAAGATTTTTAAAAAGAATCCTAAGGGCTGGTCAGATAGCTCAGCAGACTAAGCTTCCTGCTTAGGCAGGCACAGGAACTGGGGTTTGATCCCAGTATGCCGTGCCAGCCCCACCCCCTGGGACACACTGAGACAGTGACTGAGACTGGGTGTGGTGGCACACGCTTGTAATCCCAGCACTTGGGAGGCTGAAAACAGGAGAATCACTATGAGTCCAATCTACATAGTGAGACCCTGCAGGCCCTGTACTAAATACATTAAAAAAAAAAAAAAAAAAAAAGGAATATAAAGAATCCTGAGCCATTTGTGGTGGTATACATTTATAATTCTGGCACTCTGGGTCACTGAAACAAAAGGATTGAAAATTCAGGTCCAGCTCTGACAACTTGACAACTTAGACTGTATCTCAAAATAAGAAGGTCTAGGGATGTACTCAGTGCAAAAAGTCCAGAATGCAATCCTAGTTCTCCTTCCCTCCCAAATTAAATTAATTTTACATATTCATTGTTTCAGTTACTCTTCCCTTGTTGCTGGGACAAATACCTGACACCCAAAATGAAGGAAGAACAAGCTTATTTAGCTCACAGTTAGTGGAGGTTTCAGTCCATACTCAGCTGGCTCCAAGGCAGAGGGGCACATGGCAGAGAGCAGCCTTCCATGGCAGCAGCAAAGAGCAAGAGCAAAGGGAGTTGCCAGCATTTCGGGCAGCTAGCTAGCCTCTCTCCCCTCCTTACATTGTAATGCAGATTATCTTTTCTGGGACAGGTGCAGCATCCACACCCACAATAATCACAAACTCCAGAAGCTACCCCATGACTGTATGAGTCTTTGGGGGGACACCTCTACATAAACCATAATATTCATGTAAGCCATAAAGTAAACATTAACTAAAACTAAACAGATTATCTGCTTGTGAGAATTTTGTATAATAATTAAAAGTACAGCATTATTATTTCATTGTTATTTTCATTAGGGATTCTTATTGTGGTATTTGAGTATTTAGGACCTGATATTTGAAGTTATTGCTGAAGATGTTTAGTGAAATTTAAAAAATTATATAAAAGCCTTTTTTGGACCAAACTTATTTGTACTGTTTTTTTGTTGTTGTTATTTTATTTGTTTTTATATTTTAGGAAAGGGTCTACAGGTGTTCAGGGTCTCACTACTAGATTGCACTTGTAGTGATCCGCCTGTTTACAACCTCCCAAGAGCTGGGATTATAGGCAGGCGCCACCACGCCCAGTCTCAGTTGCTGTCTCAGTGCACCCCAGGGCCAGCACAGCAGGCCCAGGGATCGAACCCCTGACCCCTACATCTGCTTGCAGGCACTTTAATCTGCTGAGCTATTTGGCTGGCTCTTTGTACTGTATTTTAAAATTTTTCTTCAGTTTATGGTGAAGCAGTGCTATATTTTTTAAAAAATCTTTTTTTTCCCCATAATTTTATTGAGAAACAAATAGCAATGAGACAGTTTCAAATCAAATTGGTAGGACAGTTCCAATAATTAACACATTGCATTCTCTCTTCCTAGTGGTTATTTGCTGTACAAAATGCAGACATGATATCCTATTTACAAACACTATTAGAACAAATCCCCCTGTTCATTAAGAGAATGTAACTGTCCTA